CGTATTGCATGCGTTAGTATGTGGTACTTAGGAATGTTAATCCCGGGATCGCGGGATCCCGCACTTTTTAAGGTTTCGAAAATCCCGGGATTCTTGGCAAGTAATTTGCACTGATGGCAATAATAGAAACTCCTTTCCTTGACCAGTATTGGCTATATTTCTTTTTTTTATTTAATAATTAATATTTTTTTATAAATGTCTAGCTCATTGTACATACACACCGCGCGATAGTAAATTTTAAACACAAATATCAATATATTCGCGAAACCATAGGCCAAATATAGAAAAATTACGTTTTTAGTTTTTCACTCTGACGTCAGTAATTCAAAAATGATTTTAAAAATTCAGAGAAATGTGCTTAGAGAAGAAGTATGGGTACAAAATTAATGAGAAACTCCTGTAGAATTTAAACATATTCAAGTTTCTAGTGCAGAAGGACTAATAAATATTGAAAATGTGATTTTAAAACTTTATCCTTGAAATTTCGCAATATTCGTTCGAATTTCGTTCTTCTAACTTTGTCAGCTTAAAAATTACCTATTCATTCTGGTGAATTTTTTAATAATTTTTGGAATTAATCATATCTTTCAAATTACAAAGTCCTTCAAAATAAATCCTGCGGTTAGAGAGAAAAAATAAAAACTCCTCTTTAAATGAAATAGTAGGTTTCAAACCATGGTACAATAGTTACAGGTATTGTCTTCTTAGAGAGTTTTGCTTCACATCGAAATTCGTGCTCCCTTATTTTCATTTTGACGCAGTTCAATGTTGATTCTTTAATTCTTATTTGACTTTGCTTTTTGTTTTCGCTCAATTTAGTTTTTATAATTTTTCAAAACAAAAGAAAAAACGTTTGAAATTAAGTGAGCCTACAAATTTTGAATTTATTTACAAGCAAATATTTTTTTTCCAGCTTTTGCAAAATTTAATAAGTTCCTGTAAGATGGTTTGTTAAAAAAAATACATAAACATATATGGTATATGGGGTATGGAAAAGGGATATTTCCAGCAGTAAACACTTAGTGTGGGCAACAATGATATTTTTTAAATAAGGCAGATCGGAATATGCGCTCTCTAGGAAGACAATACCTGTAATTATTGTACCATGGTTTCAAACCCCTTTATTTATTAATCATTTCATGGTAGGAGAGCTTCTCATACATAATCGAAGCAATTTTTTCGATTCAAGTTGTTGTAATGAATATTTAAATCCCGGGACTATTCCCGGGAGCACGGAATTATGGCAACGCCATCCCCAAAATCCCGGGATCGGAAAAAGCAGAAAAATTAATATTCCAAGTGGTACCGTTTAAAAATATATTGGGAAAAATGTGCAGACGCGAGTAAACTGTCTTCTAAGGCGTTGGTATGGCAGGCGCGTAACCTTACAGAATATCTCTTAAGAGTGGTTACGGTGATCATCTCAAGTGTAACTTTTACATCTCTTGCTTCTTATTCAAATCGGCCGGTTACCACAAAGCTTGCACCAATCACGTTCAGGGAAACATTTTTGGTTATTTTATTTATTTTTTATTTAAAACGCTCCTGGAGTGACTTGACAGTTGTTTTTTAGTAGTAGTTTACAAATATACATTTATACTAACACAATTCAATTCAATTAAACACATTGTGAAGATACGTTACTATCATTATAGAAGTATTACATATATGATTAAAGGTGTCACATTTGCTAGAAATATAAAAAAGAAACGAAATTATTTTGCATGAACCTCAAAACATGATATGTACAATAACTTTTGGAAAATGGGAATTTTAAACACAACGAACTAAAAAATATCACTTATTATCAACATGGAACTATGACAATTACGGATTTGATGGACATTTCAGAGTTTAAAATTATACAAAGGAATGACATAATTTTACTTTACATTAAATACCCAAAAATAGAATTAAATTGTAAGTTTTATGAACTAAGGGCTATAGCTCAACTAGATGATAAGCTTCTAATCGACAGAAATGTACAAATTGTAAAAGCAAATTTTATAATATTTATAATTGCAAAACTGAATTAACAAACACATATCGTAAATTAGTAAAAGAAAAGTCATGTTTGTCAGAAATTTTAAATAAAAACCAAGGAAAATGTAAAAAAATTAAGGAACGAATCAATAAAATTTAAATAAAAAAACAAGGGGCAATACTAATTTCTGGAAAAAATAATGCCGAAATCCGAACACTAGAAGGAACATATGTAATTACATTTGAAAATCAAACTGAGATAAATAATATCACCTATGAAAATACTGAGTCTAAAATTTGGAACTATTTGAAAAATAACTATGTAAATAACTTTGAAATATTGGAATATATAGAATCAAGTAACAAGGTGTTGAAACTAGAAAACATAAATATTTTAGGTGAAGAAAATAAAAGCTTTAAAACCAATTCATTCATTTGGTATATTATTATTACTTTATGCATAAGTTTTGCCATTTATGTTTGTACAAAATTGCAAAAACCACATAGAAATATGTACAAAACAAAACAAAAATTTAGAACTCCAGGAAAACGAATATAAAAATATTTTATTTCGAATAAAAACACCATGATACAAAAATTTGAAGGTAAAACTGCTGAGAGCCAGCCTGAACATTTTTGAAGTTTGCTAACATAACAAAAATGTTTTCAAATTTTCAACCTCACAAATACATTCTCACTTTCAGTCTAAAATAAAAGTAAATTTCAATATTTTGACCTATTTCTCTGCAAGACTGCTGAGCATCAAATAAGTGCACATTTTATCATTATCACTAATTACAAAAGTGCCTATTAAAATACTCATTTTTGTTCAGGCGATGGGATAAAACTGAGCACTTTCCGTCGATGTAATATTTTACCTCTTCTTACTAATTGAAAACTTTGATTAATGAAAAATATATCTGCTTTGCTCTAGAAACTACCAAACTACGTATTTTTGTTTTTATAAACTCATCAGTGCTAATCATATATGTAATACTCCTATATTGGCAGTAAGAGCTAGCAACGTCCGAAAACACTACAGTACAGATATATCAATAAACACGTACGAAAGAAAAGGAACACATACTTTTATAAATAAACATGTACACAACACATATACAAAAACGGCACTCAAGTACACAATACATTGACAAAAATGGTACTAGACTGTCTCGCTTTGATTTCGGAACGCTTACACATTGAGAAGTTAGCTTACTGCCAATATAGAAGTATTACATATTTGGTGCTAATGAATAAAGTTCAGCACTAATAATCAAACTACTCATTTTTGTCGTTATAAACTCCTCAGTACAGGAAAAAACAAATAAGTAGAAAATCAAAATGTTTACTTTTAAAAATGAATTGGTTTATTTAAAAAACGTGTATCAATACACAACTAAATCCATAAAAATTAGCTAGGAATTAGGTGTCTTTTAGGTGTTAATTAGGACCTCTGTTTAGAAATTTGATAAATTGGAATATTTAATGTTTTTCAATTCCAGAGATATGGCATCCCTCTTTTGTAAATTCTAAGACGTAAGCGAACTACAACTAACTTAAAGGAACGCGAGGACGGAGAGAATTTTGGCGTTTTTGATTTATCATATTTTTTTGAGAGAGACATCTCGGCTTTTTTCACACAATCAAGGTGGTTGCCAAAAAACGTGTAAAGAAAACTGTTGTGGAGATTCAATAAAAACTTAGTTAATTTTATATGCATTCATATTGGCTTGTTATTTATAATTTACAGTCCACGATTCGTTTTGCACGCCGAATTTGCGAAACATTTTGGTCCTACGAGCCGGATGCATATGAAATTTTCTGATTTTGTTGAATGCGCACATCACTATACACGTGTCGCAATTACTATCAAGTTTGCAAATCAATACGCAAATTGAGACATTTGCGTACATACACGGGTAAAAACCTGTGTGACGCACCAACGACTGTTCGCCTAAAAGTGTGTCCAGTATCCAGAATATTTTGTCAANGCATGTCTCGTAACAGTGGGATAGAAAATGGTTCAAGCCCAATAAACGCCAACAACTACACACAACAACAACACATCCAACATGAAATGCGTTTGCCACGCATTCAGATACCAGAATTTGACGGCAAATGTACGGACTGGATCCGTTTTCGCGACTTATTCGAGACACTTATACACAACAGACAAAACATTTACAATATTGAGAAGCTAGAATATTTGCAAACGAAGGTTCGAGGGGAAGCACTTTCGCTCATCAAACATTTAAAACCAGCCAATGCAAATTACGATATTGCCTGACAGCTAATTAAGAAAAAATACGATAAGTCCGACAAAGTAAAGAGAGCTTATTTTGAACTTTTATGCGATCAACATGCAATGAAGTCTGCGTCAACGGCAGAAGCTAAGCGACTATATAATACAACCAACGAAAGTATAAATGCGTTAAAAGTGCTTAATGAACCTGTTGAACATTGGGATTCAATTTTATTGTTCATGCTAGAGAAAAAGCTTGACGCCGAGACGCATGTTTTGTGGTATAGGGAAAAGAAATCAGAGGAAGAGCAATCGATTCAAGATTTCTTGAACTTTCTGGAGAAAAGAGTTTACGAGTTGGAAAACACCCAAAAAACTACAGCGGTCAATACCTTTCGGAGTGGCATCGGTGACAAGCGCAACCAAGCGCGCGCGTTTGCAATAATGGCTACATACATGTGTTCTTTGTTCAAAGCAGCATCAGCTTTATCAATGTAAGCAGTTCCTCGATATGGAAGTGAATGCGAGACGCAATCTGGTTCAGAGCAGCAACATCTGCTTTAACTGTCTGCAGCCAGACCACCGCGCATCAAACTGTAAGAGATCATCGTGTAGAAAATGTGGGGCGAAACACAACTCCCTGTTATATATAACATCAGCAGCAAGTGACGTTCAGCAGTCAGCAGTCAATACGAATGTAGAGCCATCTATTGTCAGTGCAAATAGCACACAGCAGAGTCAGCGGTCTATCACATTGCTGCCAACAGCGATTGTTATGGTGCGCGATAGATGCAACGAGTTGAAGCCATGTCGCGCTTTGCTGGACTCAGGGTCACAAGGCACGCTTATAACCGAATCTTGCGTACAGCGACTGCAGCTGAAACGAGGCTTTGATAGATCTATGTTATATGGGGTCGGTTCAGTCAATGGAGGTCACACTAGAGGAAGGGTCGAATTAAATATCGAGGCGACACAATATGACACCATTATTAGAACTGAGGCATTATGCTTGCTCAATTTAACTTACACTTTGCCTCCGTGCGATATAAGCCATCACAGTTGGACATTTTTCAATGAAGTTAATCTTGCAGATCCTTCATATTCGAAACCTGGTAAAATCGACATCATACTTGGAGCAGATGTCTTCACTAGCTGTTTACTGCCAGAGAAGTTGACTCATCCTAGCGGTTCACCGACCGCAGTCAACACAATTTTCGGTTGGGTTATAATGGGTAAAATAAAGGGAGCAGACGAACAAAACATTGTAACTGCACATACATGTGTGGATTTAAATCAGCAACTTCAACGCTTCTGGGAAGTTGAAGATCTACGAGAACCGACAAATTACCTGACGGATGAAGAGAAAAAAGCGGAATTACATTTTCAACAACATACTCAGCGCGATGTACAAGGCAGGTACGTTGTTAGGCTCCCGTTAAAAGAGGATGAGGTTAACCTAGGGGAATCACGGTCTGCTACGCTTAGACGACTTATTTCAGTGGAGCGTCGAATCGACAGTGATGTGCAACTCAAGGAAGAATATGGGAAATTTATGGACGAATATTTAGAGTTGGGGCATATGGAGATTAGCAGCACGGTAAACGTACACAGAAAGTACTTCATGCCACATCACGCAGTATTCAAACCAACAAGTGCCACAACAAAACTACGGGTAGTGTTCGACGCATCCTGCAAGAGTTCAAATGGATTGTCACTCAACGACAACTTGTTAATCGGTCCAACAATACAAAAGGATCTGTTCGAGATCATAACCAAATTCAGGAAATACAAGGTTGGATTTGCCGGCGATATCGAAAAAATGTACCGACAGGTATTGGTACATCCAGATGACCGGCCGTTGCAGCGTATATTGTGGGGACGTTCCACGGAGGAAGAACCTACTGCTTACGATCTTCGCACCGTAACATATGGCACGGCAGCTGCACCTTTCTTAGCGGTAAGGACACTGCAGCAAGTGGCATATGACTACTCTGATGAATATCCTGACGCAGCATCTGCAATATCGAACAATTTTATGTAGATGATTTCTTGGCATGTGCTCCCAATTCAGGAGGAGCAGTGAAGCTAAAGAACGACGTGTGTTCAGTTCTATCCGAGGCAGGATTCAAGCTACGTAAGTGGTCATCAAATTCGAGAAAGTTCTTGGGTACAATTGACATAGATGATTATGAAAAATCTCCTGATACAATCATCGACACCACAAGCGCCGTAAAAACACTTGGTTTGCTTTGGGAGACTTCAACAGATAACTTCAAGTACAACGTGGTGCTTGAAGATATCACGTTAACCGTGACAAAACGTAATGTACTATATTGCCAGAATATTCGACCCAATCGGATGGATTGCTCCGATCGTTATTAAAATGAAGATTTTTATGCAAAAATTATGGCTAAAGGGCGTAAGTTGGGATGAAGAGCTACCGCGTGAGCTATACAGCGAATGGTATGATTACAGGCAGAACATCAACAGAATTTCAAAACTACGTATACCAAGGTGGCTTGATTTCACTGACGACAGCATTGTTGAGCTACATGGGTTCTCGGACGCGTCCGAAGTAGCATTTGCAGCAGCGGTTTATGTGCGGATACAGCGGAGGGATGGCGAAGTGTTCACCCACTTAATTTCGGCTAAAACCAGGGTCGCCCCGGTAAAGCAAATCACGTTACCGCGGATTGAGTTGTGCGCTGCACACTTGTTGGTGAAGTTAATAATTAAGGTACGACAATCTTTAAGTTTCGAAGTAGTTGACGTGGTTGGTTGGACAGATTCGTCAATTGTTTTGGCGTGGTTGGCAGATCATCCTCGCCGCTGGAAAACCTTCATTGCAAATAGAACTTCCCAAATAATAGACGTCATACCAGCTGAGCAATGGCGTCACATACCGTCACAACACAATCCTGCAGACCTTGTTACAAGGGGAATTTGGCCTGCAGAGCTTGTAACTTGTAAATTATGGTGGCACGGTCCTGACGTGCTGATGCATAAATCAACGACGCATACCGAGAAGCCAGCTACGTCACCGAATGTCAGCATGGAAGAACGAAAGGTGGTTCAGTCACATCCAGCTATCATACAAAATTTTTACCTAGTTGAGAGATATTCAAAATACACGCATCTTTTACGCATCACTGCACTTTTGTTACGCTTCGTACATAACTGCAAAACTGGTAGCTCCAAGCAACCGAAAACAGCTACCGGGATTTCAACCAACGAACTGCAGCATGCGCATAACGTATTGGTGAGGAAAGAGCAAACAACATACTTTGCACAAGAGATACGGTTACTATTGAAAGGTAAGTCTCTACCTATGTCAAACAAACTGACGACTCTTGCACCTTTCATCGATAACGGTGGCCTACTTCGGGTTGGAGGCAGGATTGTAAACGCTAACAGCAACTACGACCAGAAGCATCCATTAATTATCCACAAAGACAGCCATTTGACCCGACTGATCGTGATGTATTCCCATCTAAAGCACCTACACGCTGGAAGTCGGCAACTTCGTTACTTGCTTGGACTAAAATACTGGATCCCAGGGGGTACATACACAATTAAACGATGTGTTTTTAAATGTACAACGTGTATGAGAGTACGTGGAATAGCTTACCAGCAACAGATGGGCAATCTTCCTCCACATCGACTAAACCCAGGTGCAGCCTTTCTCAATACGGGTGTAGATTACTGGGCCGTTACAGGTGCGCTCCTGGAAAGGACGAGGGTCTAAGCTATACAAATGTTGGATCGCGCTCTTTGTGTGCCTTGTGACTAAGGCTGTACATATCGAGCTTGTTACGGAACTGTCAACTGGGGCGTTTATCGCATCGCTTCGGCGGTTTGTCGCCAGGCGCGGAAAGCCCTTGCCCTTGTTTTCGGACAACGGCACAAATTTCGTGGGGGCCAATCAGCAGTTGCGCGAGTTCTTGTTTGCATCCACAACAAAAGAAGGCATTTCAAGGGAACTAGCGGATCAGCAGATACAATGGCACTTTTCACCACCCTCTAATCCACATTTTGGTGGGATATGGGAGGCTGGGGTAAAGTCAGTTAAGTACCACCTCAAACGAGTGTTAACAGAAGCAGCAATAACATACGAGGAAATGTCTACAGTACTTTGCCAAATTGAATCTTGCCTAAACTCTCGGCCACTGTGCATCAAATTCGAGGGAGACGTCGATCCATTAACTCCGGCCCATTTTTTGATATTACGTTCACCACACACAATACCCGACGAAAACTTGGTCAATTTAAAGGAGAATGCGCTCAACAGATGGCAATACCTTCAGCGACTGGTTCAAAAATTTTGGAAGAAGTGGTCTGTAGAGTGCATACACCAGTTGCAGCAACGACCAAAGTGGGCACAAAAACTTAAAAATATAGCCATTGATGACGTTGTGATCATAAAGGATGACAACCTTCCTCCATCAAGTTGGGCAATAGGAAGAATCGTTGAGACACATCCTGGATCTGATGGTCTCGTTCGAGTGGTTACTGTAAAGACAGCAAAAGGAACATTCAAACGACCAGTAGTGAAACTGTGTCCATTGTTTCTGGATAATTGAAAGCAGGTGCTTTCAAGAGGGGCCGGAATGTTTAGAAATTTGATAAATTGGAATATTTAATGTTTTTCAATCCCAGAGATATGGCATCCCTCTTTTGTAAATTCTAGGACGTAAGCGAACTACAACTAACTTAAAGGAACGCGAGGACGGAGAGAATTTTGGCGTTTTTGATTTATCATATTTTTTGAGAGAGACATCTCGGCTTTTTTCACACAATCAAGGTGGTTGCCAAAAAACGTGTAAAGAAAACTGTTGTGGAGATTCAATAAAAACTTAGTTAATTTTATATGCATTCATATTGGCTTGTTATTTATAATTTAGAGTCCACGATTCGTTTTGCACGCCGAATTTGCGAAACAACCTCCAAAATTAATTTGGGTGCTAAATTAGATTTAGTGGCGTTGAAGAACACCTAAAAGACACCCAGTTCCTGCATATATGTATTTCGAAAATTTAAAACAAAAATTTAAAGGGTGGTCAGTAGAGTGGCCTTTTTGTTGTATGAAAAATTTGGAATGTATGAATCCAAAAGTTTTCGCACAGAATAATGTGAGGTTGGGGATATAAATAAATACGTAATTAGTTTAAAAGCCTTCAGGTGATTCCTAGATTCCGGGGTTGAGCTTTTTCGACCAAAAATGTCGAAATTACACCAATTTCTTTTATTTTGCATTTCTTTTTTTAAAGTATATATAAGAAAAATTCTACATTATGCTTTATTTAAAATGATATTAAATATTATTATTATTCGATATTAAATGATATATTGATATAAATGATGATTTCATATTTTTCTCAGCTTTAATATTGTCGTGTACCATGATTTTTCAATCAATGTCAGACTTTTTTAACTTTAAAAAGATAAATGTATTCAGTTTTCAATAAAAAACAGTTCAGAAATAAAAAATTGCGTTTCATGGTTGTAAAAGCTGAAAATTTAAAATAATAATTTCAATTTCAACATATTTCCTATTAAAAAATCAAAATCATCAACCCGGAACCACTCGGAATTTCCGAATCCAGAAAAAACAAATTTCATATTTATTTTCCTTGCCAACCTCCGCCGCTCTAGTGTTCAGCTAGGTTAACAGCGCTAAGTTAGCTGAAAAACACATTTTTGCGAATTTCTCGGAAACCAATGGAACACCTAAATTAATTTTGGAGGCCCTAATTAACACCCAAAAGACACCTAATTCCTAGCAAATTTTTATTGATTTTTGGCGACTTGGGTCAGCTAGGTTTACGGACGTACAAAACTCTTATAGTTACGGTGACCATAAATATATTTTGAAAATGCAGGACAATTTTTCAAAAAATTTACCTACATATAATTGCGTAGTATAAAAATAACAAAAATATACTACATATATACATTCCTCGTCATTTGAATAGCGCACCCTTTTTTTGATTTTCTACCATACAAAGTATGCTTGACAAAATTTTTATATGGAAGAAAATGTGCAGCACAGTCAACAAAAAAAATGTCGCCGCTATGTTTATTTTTTTTTAATTTTCAAAAATTTTTTAAATGGGATGTAGACGTAGAATATGGTATATTTTTATGAAAAGTTAATGAATATTAAACAAACAAAAGGAAAACTGTACCTACTAAGTATTAAAAGGATGCGCTATTCAAATAACGAAGAGTGTATATTTCTTAATTATTAATCCAATTTTAAACCTTAAACATAAATCACGTTTGCTTCATTGGTATTAATCTTTTAGTAATGAATATTTACAAAATTATAATAAGGCATATTACATATTACTTTACACGAAATATGAACCTCTGTAAAGTAAATTTTTTTGGCAAACTTTGGCTCGTTGAACACGAAAAAAATACCCATGGTTTCAAAGAAGTGTTTTCGAGATTTGTTCGAAAAACGTATTTTTAGTACTTTTTCAGTTATTCCTCAATATCTCATGAAACGACCAACAGTTTGAAAGGTATTGATGGGCTCTTTGAAAAAAACTATATTTTTTGTGCAGATTGCGCTCAGTAACATCAACATTTTTCATCAGATTTTCATTTACTGTAAAAAGAAAATGATTCAAATTTCAATTTTTCGATTTTGGTTGTTGTTGTTGTTGTTGTTGTAGCGGCTACTAAGCCCCGTTCGGGGCGGTTCATCCATCAACGTTGTCGTCTATTTCAGCTAAGGGGAGGCCCAGGAAGTGTGCTACTTCCAGAGGGGCTGTCCATAGGGACAGGCGCGTTAGCTGAGTGGGATCTTCAGGGCATGTGAAGAGGTGCCGGGTGGCGACTCTCCACATGCCGGGCATTGGTTGGGCACATCCTCGTTGATTCTGCTCAGGTAGCTATTGAGCCTGCTGCAATAGCCAGAGCGAAGTTGGGCTATTGTAGTGCGGGTCTCCTGAGGCAGACAAATTTCTGTCCCGTCCACGTCTGGTGGTTGTGTGCCTAGAACGGCATTCACAGGGCGGGAGTCTACATAACTTGAGACTGATTCCCTGTGAATGCGGTTCAGGGCCTGCCGGTAGGTTGACGGGTCCAGAGGTTGTTTAATATACCTCTGGACTTCGTCTGTCAGTTCGTAAAGATGCCTCCTGACGTGCCGTGGCGAGGGCTCTTCCGCGAGCAGTTGCCCGCTGGGATGGCCACGTCTGTGGCTTCCAGCGATGAACTGCTTGCAGAGCATTATGTTATGCTCCTTTACTGGGAGCATCTGGGCCTCGTCGTGAAGGTGGTGTTGAGGCGTCATCAGGAGGCATCCTGTCGCAGTTCATAATTCCGTGTTTTGGCAGGTCTGCAGCTTCATCCACTGCGTCCTGCTAGTCCCGGCGACCATACGGGCGCTGCGTAGTTCAGAACCGGCCGGCCAATTACCTTGTATGTTGCCAACAACGTTTCTTTATCTTTGCCCCAAGTGCTGCCGGCCAGCGACTTGAGGACATTGTTGCGGCTCTGTACTTTGTTGACAATTGCGGTTGTATGCGCCGAGAAGGAGAGCAGACTGTCGAAGGTGACTCCGAGGATTTTCGGGTTATTCACCGTCGGTATTGTTACGTCATCGACGTGAATACCCAGTGGCAGTCTGACGTCCTTCGTCCAGGTAGTGAAAAGGGTTGCCGAGGATTTCGTAGGAGATAGGGCAAGGCTCCTTGCAGTGAAGAAGCGAGAAAGTTCGGAGAGGTAACCTTTTACTTTTGAGCACAAGTCATCAATTCTATTCCCAGACGCCATGATGGAACAATCGTCAGCATACGAGACTATATTAACACCCTCTGGTGGCTGAGGAAGCTTTGATATGTAATATTTAAACAGTAGCGGGGACAGGACACCACCCTGTGGTACCCCCTGTTTAATTTTACGTGGCTTGCTGGTTTTGTCTCTGAAGCTTACTGACGAGTGTCGACCACTCAGGTAATTCGTCGACCACCGTTTGAGTCCCTGTGGTAGTGAGGAGGCCTCTATATCTTCTAGTAGCGTTGAATGACTGACAGTGTCGAACGCCTTGGACAGGTCCAACGCTACTAGAATAGTTCTCTCACAGGGGCGGTTTCGGTTTAGGCCACGAGTTATCTGAGTGTTTATGGCGTTAAGTGCTGTTGTTGTACTATGCACTTTACGGAACCCATGTTGATGCTTCGATGCGGTCAGGTGGTTCATGAAGTACGGAGCAGCAGGGCCTCGAGTGTCTTCGCTACCGGGGAAAGGTGAGTTATCGGGCGATAAGACTCTCCTTTGTTAGCTGGTTTCCCCGGTTTGAGCA